TACTCCGGTGCCTATGGGTGTTGCTCCTGTGCCTGTTCCTGTGGCTGTTCCTATTGGTACTGGTACTGCACCAGTACCTATTGGTACTGGTATTGGTATTGGTACTGGACCAGTACCAGTACCTTTTGGTACTGGTACTGTGTGTAAACCAGTGTGTAAACCAGGGAACTTGTTGATGGGTAAGATTAACCCATCCAACCCAACATTAATAAAACAGATAAAAGGTCTGAATTTTTTTTTTTTTTCATTTATACCGCCAGTCTTTTCACCCTGATGATTCTATCATTCGTCATCTATTCAAGTACAGTCATACCTAACAAAAAACCAGATTCAGTTCTTTTAGTAGACATACAAAAGACCTGTGTGTCCACAGAGATCTGGACCAGTACCTATTGGTACTGGCACTGGCACTGGCGCTGGACCAGTACCTATTGGTACTGGCACTGGCACTGGCGCTGGACCAGTACCTATTGGTACTGGTATTGGTACTGGCACTGGACCAGTACCAGGGAAAAAACCAGGGAACTTGTTGATTAAAGAATGATGGGTAAGATTAACCCATCCAACCCAACATTATTAAAACAGATAAAAGGTCTGAATTTTATTTTTTTTTTCTTTTATACCGCCAGTCGTTTCACCCTGATGACATTTACCATTCTATCATTCGTCATCTATTCAAGTACAGTCATACCTAACAAAAAACCAGATTCAGTTCTTTTAGTAGACATACAAAAGACCTGTGTGTCCACAGAGATTTTAGCTGACAAACACACACACCTCCACCTCCACCTCCTGAGAGTGACTCCTGAGCAGTAGTTGCGCTTGTTTGTCTTTTCCAAGAGGCCATGGGGGGTGAGGGGTGAGGGGTGAGGGGTGGGCCTCACCCTGTCATCAGCTGTGTGGATTCATGGGCTTTAAAGGCTCTGGTTCTAATTTGCCTTTTTTTTCCTCTTATTTTTTTGTATTGATACTTGAGCCGCTGCAGTTAAAACACCAGTTAATGAGATCTCAGGAGAATGGAGCTGCCGGTTAAAGGGACAGTTCAGGATTTCTAGTAGAGTCGAAGTAGAAGCGTACTCGGTATCTCGTACATAGCCAACTGCTGTGTTTGTCCTTGGGGCCCACAGGAGAAATGCAGGTACACAAGGAGGAAAACATGTTACCAGTAGGGACAATAAGACACCAATATTTTAGGCCTCGGCTAACAAGATCTGCAAAGGCTTACAGGCTTCATCTGGTAGTTAACTTAAGTAAAACGCGTCTTAAGCTTGAGGAAAGATGACAATAAGGGAGAAAACCGTCAAGGGAATTTTAACTACATTCATATCAAACTGGAACTTGTTTGTCTTCTTTTTTCTGGAGTTCAAATGTGGTCACCTTAAAAATAAAAAAATAAAACAAATTATTATTAGTCTTTTTGAAACTAACTGTCACTTTTATGAACAGAAGTTGAGTTCAAATAAGATATATACAAATTTCTATAGGGCTGCACTATTATTATGACTATTATAATTGCAATTATTTTTGGTTAATAATAAAATCAGGATTATTTAAAATGATTATTCTTAGACACTGAAAACACATTTAACTTATTGCGCATTATAAAGAGCAAATATATTTTCTTTTGTGCTTTTCTTGCATAAATAAAAACATAAATAAATAAAATGAGCAGTGTATCAAATTACCAAACAGAATTAATGTTGATAAAGTATAACAAAATATAAACTACAATGCAAATAGAAATGATAAATAAACGTTGAAAAGGTAGTAGCAGTTATCATAATAATAATGCTAAGGTGCAAAAAAATGCTAATGCTAAGACCAAAATATATTTGCTCACATTTGAGTGTACTGTCACAACAAACTGAAAGCTCATATACATGTATTTACAATCTATATTTAATAAGTTCTAGACAGTAACTCAATCCAACATAGGCTAGCAGAAATATATAACAGTAAATATACACAGTAAATGCTGGTGATACCAAAAAAAATACGTCTTTCATTGATGACTGTGCTGCCGAGGTCGTCAAAGTGCTTTAGCTACTTTGCTTTTTCTGTTTCTGTATAAGTTAATTAGTTGGTCGCTAGTCGGTGTTTGAAGTTTAGTTGGTTAAAGAGATTGGTTTGTTTCGGTTGGTCCTTGTAACTCTTGTGTCCATTTTTGCACAAAATCACCAGGTGCTTAAAGCAGAGGCCTGGGGTCCTGTATATGGCTTTGCGGCCCACAAATTTCTCTCATCTGGCCCGTGATGATATATGTGAATTCGAATTTACCTCTCGATTTTTTTTTTTAAATTATTAATAATTAATTTAATTAGCTGTTTGCACTAGGGCAGTGTTTCTCAAATAGTGGGGCGGGAACCCCTGGCGGCGGCGCGGTGAGGTACTAGCAAGTACCACTGCTGTAATCCTTGAATGATAACAAGCCTCCAGTCCACTAGGTGGCAGCAACTCATACAGTGGTTTGTACAGATAGAAATATACATGTTATCAGGTTCTCAATAGTATTTCAATTTGCGGGCGGTGTGGTTCGGATAGGAGACGCGGGGTGTGAAAACGTTTCTGTCCCCAAGGGGGGGGGCATGACCAGGTTATTACACTTGTTTTTTTTTATATTGACAAAAACCTTGTTTTCTTAAATAACGTTTTGTATGGAACATTGAATACTGGTGTGGCCTCCAATGAAGCGATGCTAGCAGCAGTGGCCCTCAGCTCTTTTTGAGTCTGAGAGCGTTAGATTAAAGAGTTTTTCAATGCTCTAAATACCCTCGAGGGTTTAGCTTATTGTTGTTACCCCCCGTTAAACCCTGTGAGAATGGAATAATTAGAACAAATAACGCTTTGAACCAAGTCTACTTAGTAATGATGTGATAAGGACGCTTGCTTCGTACCGTCCAAGGCTAAATAAATGTGAGACATCTTTTCAATGTGTTCGGCGGTCGCCTTGTGCCAAAGGTCGGCGGGTCACCCTTTTTTATAATGTCATTCTTTGTCTTTTTCAGTGTGCAAGGATCCACCGTACAAAGTGGAGGAGTCTGGATATGCTGGATTCATCTTGCCTATTGAAGTGTACTTCAAAAACAAGGTACAGTATGTCGAATGTGTATTTTTGATGTGAAAAAGAATGCGTTTGTGCGTTTTTCTTTACATCCTCCTTTCCTTTGTCGTAGGGTGCACTCACACTAGAGCTGTTGTACCGCGCACAAAAATCCAGATTCTATAGCTCATGCGAGTGCACCCACAGTGCAACCACTTCCTGCTACGGCGCAGTTCGGCGAATCTGTGAACCGCCGCCTCACATAGCGAATAAATCAAGACGCGTCTTAGTGGCGAGGGCCGACTTTTCCACTCCAGAACAAATATTCTGCTCCATCCTGTTTCGGAGCAACGGCTCACAGTAATGATGACATCGCGTGGATCCGAGCGCTGACTGTTTTTGAGAGCGTTCTCAAAGCAGATGCAGTTGCAACCGTTGCTGTCAGATTTGCTCTCGATTGCGCTGCTGTATAACAGTTTGTGACATAGGCTTGATGTCCAACTTAAAATGTCGGTGTAAGCATTTTCAACAAGACGACAACAACAACAACAAAAAACTTCGGTGTAAGCATTTTCAACAAGACGACGACAACAACAACAACAAAAAACGGATTCTGATTTTTAACATATTGAAAATACTGGTGAAGTTGACTTAAAGTGTTTAATTATTTCCTAACGCTAATCAAAGTAGCTATCTTAAACTGTCCTTTAAACCAGCCCCAATCTTTTTTTTGTACCAAGGAACAGTCGGCATGTATCAGCCGTTACTGCGGACTGGTAATACAGCGCCACCAACATCTTCTAGACTTTAGTCTGTTAGTAACCGAGTCTGAATGAGCTGTTGTTTTGATTATGTTTTAATGAAACAAATAAGTAAATTGGTAAAAACCGAAGGACATTTTTTCACTATGTCCCACTGCGGCCCAGTACCAAATGAATTATGGACCGACACCGGTACACAAACCAGGGGTTGGGAACCACTGCTGTATACAATTGGTTAAATCAACCACAAACGATTGTTGGAGTTCATTGGTAAATACTTTTAAGAAAAAAAATCATGTTCTTCCGAACATAAAAAAAAAGCCATCATACATTATTATAAAGCTGTGATGTCATCATTTTAAAATTACACAATCAAACTCCACCGGTCTGTTTTTGTTTGTATATGGAATGCCGGTCTGAGGGATTATAGTCAAGAGGGGGGCGTTGCCGAAACATGAGCCAAGTTTCACTGTGTTTGGGAAAAAGTCCTGAAAAACTGAACTTGATCCTTAAGATTTCTCCCTCTATTTTCCCTCCCTCTCTCTCTCTCTCTCTCTCTCTTTCTTTCTCACCCGTCACTGGTTGGACGATCACTTCACCTCCAGGAAGAACCGAAGAAAGTCCGCTTTGACTACGACCTGTTTCTCCACCTGGACGGCCATCCGCCCGTCAATCACCTCCGCTGTGAAAAGCTGACCTTCAACAACCCCACAGAAGAGTTTCGTAGGAAGCTACTGAAAGCAGGAGGGGTAAGAGTGTGTGTGTGTGTGTGTTGTTCAAACGTTGGAGTTCAGAAACATGTTAAGTTAACGTTGAGATCGATCTGCAGTGACCTGTGACGCTGATGTCAGATTCTGGTGGTCACTAATGTGAAAACTCTGCAGGTCATGCTTCGATGGATATAACAAATATATTATTAATAATAATATGTCAATATTGATATCAGCACAATAACTGTTGAGGAATACATAAACAATTGTTTATATAATAATAATTGACAGACACCATCATTTCACGCACAGCGAGACACATTGACAGACACCATCATTTCACGCACACCGAGACATGAACACACTGATCCCTCTCCTATCGCGGTAGTTGCGTTCCAAGACCCACTGCCAAAAGGGAAAATCCGCGAAGTAGAGGCGAGAGTTATTATATTATTTACATATATATTTACCCTTTACAATCCTCCCCCACACTGTTATCAACCCTCCCTAGATTGTATTACCCTTTTCAACACAATTATATGCACAGTAGAGTTGTAGAATGGAAATATAAGACATACATATTATGTAAAGTAATTAAATAAACGACGCGGCGGAGGTTAGCGCTTTCACCAAACACAAGGAACGTACTATACGTATAACGGCGCAGAGCAACGTAAGAAGTGGCGGACAGGTAAGGCGAGATGCCGAGTTCCTCACTCTGATTGGCTCATGCATCGTAGCATCCTACGATGCATGAGCCAATCAGCATGAGGAACAGAAGAGCATGCTCAATGCTGTGTTCGATCTCCTCTAGGTAAACAAAGCTACCAGTGATGTCTTTTAGTTGATTTTTTGCTATGTTTTTACTGTAATAATGAAAATATTGGAAATTCAAAAAAATTACCGTAAAATACCGCGATATAGCGAAACGTCCGTGGTACAGATAAAAAAAAAAAATCTGCAATGTACTGAGGGAGTGAAAGAGAGGGAACACTGTAGACTATTTTTGGGTGATTTGCCATATGTTTGTAGTCGAGTGTTGATACAGTATGTGAACTGTTGCTTGCAAGTTTCGCATTCAACTTTTTTCCCCGTTATCTGTTTTTGTAAAATGCTGCCACACTGTCGTTGTCTTTGACATGGTAGAGGAGGACTGACTGTAAATGAAACGCTCAGAATTAAATAAATATTCAGCAACCTTCCGTAAATTAGCATAAAACATAAGACAAAATCGACAAATCTGTAATTTGGTCGAGCCGGAACGTCGACCAATGAATTGACCGGTTGAACAGAGATCGCAGGAGAAGTGTAGATGAAGGTGAACGATGAAATATCGTTGCTTAAATTAGAAAACAGTAACATCACTTTTTATTCAAACAACACCTTCCAGATATGTTCTATAGGAAAACACAAATGATAATGATAATGATAATGAAGGGTCAGTCCTTCCTGTGAGAAAAAGTTGTTTTTTTTTTGTTTTTTTTTTAAGACGAGGTTCAATGTCATAAACCTATCAAACCGTTTTCTGAAACATCCGGCATTTCGCTAGCTTTGAGATATCTCAGTCAGTATCTCTCGTTGATTTTTTTTTTTTTTTTTTTCCTAAGTAAATTCAGCGACAGACCTCAAACAGCAGTGGCACAGAATAACACGTCTGATCTTGACGATGGAATGTGCTAAAACATTTCAGATTTATTTGGAATATTTTTTTGGGCTGTTTGAAGGAAAGAAGAACTGCACTCGTCCCAGAAGACATTTTTGTACCAGCAGCTCGGGAAACGTGATTTAAAGAATACATTCTTCCAGTAAAGTCTACAAAAAAAGTTTAGCACTTTTTTTTTTTTAAACTGGAGAATGGTAAATCCACATCCTGGCTCCGCTTGGTGTGTATTTATAATCCTGGCACGGTGTATGTGGGATTGAGTGAAAATAGTGCAGTGTTGCACATTGATGGATCAAATAGTAGCTGAACAACAAGGGGGGAAAAAAAAAAACGATACGACGTTCACTTCTCCCCCGGTGGAATCATGAGATTTGAAGACTATAAAAAATAAATAAATAAATAAATAACATGTAATTGACATTTAATATTCGTTGACATTTTAGGGAGGGAAAACTGTGCTATTTTTAAATGAAACGGTGACAATTTATCCCTTCAGTCCGCCGTACGTTTTCCAAGAAGGAGCTGTCTTTGTTTGGCTCTGAGTCGCGGCTGTGGCAGAAAGGGGGGAAAAAAAAGAAAAGTGTGACTGCCAAATGTCATTCTGTAACATCGGGAGCGGTGCAACCTGACCAACCCCTCTTATCGGTTGGAACCAGAGCAAGCTGCTTTTATTGTTTTACTGCCTCCGTGGCCCTGACATGCTCATCGTGGTGTTAAATAAATTCAGGCTAGCGCGCGCCCCCCCCCCCCCGGCGGCGACAGCAGCGTCCTGCACAACAGCGCA